AAATTCACCACTTATATGTGGGGAATGAAACGATTTGGGAGAAGATAAAGAGGCTATGGCGGGATGAGCGATTAGGGATGGATAGGACGTTCATTCGTTGCAAACTGATGGTTGATACAGTGCGGGATGAAGAGCAGCAGAAGGACATAACACTTGCTTACCACCAGGGCAAGACCAACCACCGCGGGGCGCAGGAGACGTTTCAAGCGTTGCGTCGGAAATATTTTTGGTGGGGGATGAAGAAAACGATCGCAGAGCTCATAGGGTCCTGCAGGGTGTGCGCGAGCACAAAGTACGATAGGCACCCCCCAAGAACGATGCAAGAGGAGACACCCACGGTCGATGCACCACTAAGCGACTTGCAAGTGGATACGTTCACGTGGAGAGGGTATAAGTGGGTCACGCTCATAGACCTCTTTAGCAAAGCGGCAATGGCGTACCTGGTACAGGAGCGATCAGCAGAGGCAGTCTTAGGAGCCCTCCAGACGTGGTTCCAATGTTACGGAGTACCCGATCGCATAACATCCGACGGGGGCAGAGAGTTCGACAATGCCAAAATCAGAGCGGAAATGAAGAACGTAGGTGTCAGGTGGTATCTTAATACTCCAGGGCACCCCAAGAGCAGGGGAAGTATAGAGAGACTCCACAGCACTCTTAGTGACCATCTAAGGGTGTATCAGGTGGAAAAAGGGTTGGAACCGGATGTGGCAATGCGGAAGGCGGTGGCAGCGTACAACCATTCTATACATACGACAACAGGGTTCTCTCCATTCGAAATTCTCTTCGGTTTACGCGGGCGGCAACGGGACTGGGGAGGTACAGCTGCAGATGAACAAATGACAGAACGAATGGTTAGTAATAAAATGGAACTGGGTAATCTCTGGGGGAAGGTTAAGGAAAAAATAGAGGGGAAAAGTGAAAAAGGGTGGCGCGGGAAAATCTCAAAGTGAAGGAAGTAACAGGGGGGTTGAAAATCGGGTCCATAGTGTATCGCAAATTAGGCTCGAATAGGGGAAAGGAACTGCGGAGATATGAGGGTCCATTCAGGGTGATAGTCATTAGAGAGCATAATGTGGTGACGATTGAGAGTGTTAACGAACCAAAAAAACGAAGGACGGTTCACATAGAACAATTAAAATTTCCGATTACAGAGTCACAAAAACCTTAGAACTGGAGTGCCCTCGTCTCCGGAAAGAAGATTTTTTTTTGTTTTGTTTGTTTTGTATATAGTGTTCTTACATAACTTTGTGTATATTTTGAAAGCAGTGAAATACGCCTTTCATTTGTGAGAAAAATGTATAGAGGAAAGTGTGTTTTTTTTTTTTATTATTATTTTGATATATAAGGAATATACATGTAAGTACTGAACACTCCATACCTGTGTTATAATGTGGGCAAGAGAACCTTGTCGTTGTATATATAAGAGTTTATTTTTTGTTTTTATGTCTTTTTATTTTTTTTAAGTTTACGAAGAGTATCCGTAAACTGGTGGGGGGGAGTTAAGGTACGGAGCGGGATAGTATTAGCTTTAATACCAAAAGCATTTATGTAAACAACTTAGAATGTATATATAGAGGATTATAAGGAGGAATAAAGCAGTCTTGTTTCTGACTTCATGCGTGTTATTTGTTGAACCTTTACTCTTTTTTTTAAGTGTTTAAAGCCCGCAACGTTTAACTTATATATATATATATATATATATATATATATATATATGTGTGTGTGTGTATGTATGTGTATGTGCATGTGTGTGTATATATATATATATATATATATTTTTATTTCAATTATTCTCCCTATTACTCAATAGTTATTTTTCTTTTGAATTTTTCTTTCACTTTCTATTAACTTTCGTTCAATTTTCCATAATTTTTCTGAGTAATAAATCTTTCGTACCTATTTACGCTTCCAGCGCTTTAGTTCAAACTTCGTCGGATAACCGTTAGAGATGACGCCACCTACACATCTCTTCTCTCTCCCCCTCCCTTGTAACGACTTTTATTCTCCCTGCAACACTTAAGGAGACAGGTAGTACTTTTTTTATTTCTTTCTTATTTCAGCTTTCTCAATTTCTTCCCTCCTTCCTTTCATTCCTTTTCTCTGTTTTTAACTCTTTATTATATTATACATTGTCTGTACATCTTGATAGACTTTACAATATCTCAATTTTCTATCTAACTACTCCATTCTCAATGTTTTAATTTTACTATTTATTTTCATTTCTTATATAACTTCATATTTCTTTTTTATGTTTTACATTTTATTCTAAGATTCCCATTGTAACACTTATGTCACCCTTTTTGATTATGCCTACTTCATCATTCCACACTCTGTAACGGTTATTATTATTTATCTCTTAGTTCTTAGTCATTATTCTAACAATTTCATTTTACTTTATATTTATTTATTTTATTTTCTTAATTTTTTTTTATTTTTTATTTTTTTTTTTTACCATCATTACTTATGTTTCTCATACCTTGTTATCTGGTTATTTTCTTAGCCCTGATGAAGGCCTGAACTTCAGGTCGAAACGTCGGCATATGTAAAAAATAAATATTATCATTTATTTTTTGCCTTCCTTTTTGACTGACCACCCCAACTATTCTTCTCTTCATTATCCACGACAGTCAACCAATTACCAATTATGATAAATTAAATAGTTATAAATTATATATATCTATATATTTATAAATATATATATATATATATATATATATATATATATATATATATATTTTAATATATATATTTATAACTATATAGTTATACTTATAAATTAACTATAAACTATATATTTTTAACATTTTTGTCCCTTGACATATTGGTCAGGGAAAACTTTCATTAAACAGGGAATTTTACTCTGACAATTTGGTAGCCACCCTGTATTAGTACGTCATCAGCATACGCCAAGTGTTTAGGTACTCCCTACTACGAGCTACACTGGCTACCTATGAATGGAGATCGAGCGTCTTTTTTCTCTCATCATCTAGAAGCTCAGATAGTTGAGTGAGCGTCTCCTTTTAATCTAGTCAGCATCTACCTTCGTTTGTATTTACCTAATCCAGTGATTACATTGCTGTATATCTTCGTCGGTGTCTCTATGTTCTATAGCTGCTAGTTGAAATAAGAAGATATTCACCTCAAACAGTAAAACTGGTATAATCGGGCCTGATTATTTTTTATTTAATATGGAATCAAACCTTTAATAATAGAACACCGCCATAGGTTAGACACTTCACCATAAATTTCCCAGTGAGAATCATCTCTTCATTTTTTTTTTAAATGCAGATAATAGACATTGCTTAATTATAATTAATTTCTATTTTACATTATATTTATTAGTTCCCACTCTTCTATCACTATAAATTTAATTTGTTGTTTTTTCTCAAATAATTAATGCTCTCTCCCATTATTCAATGTCCACCATGGTGTGCGTTGCTCTGCGGTGCTATCACATCCTCTTGAGGACTAGGGTCATTTCTCGGTTGTTTTTTTTTGGGCTATGGTTATTGACATACCATATCGTGCCGAGAGTCAATAATATATTGCGACCAATAAAATACTTTATGAAAGTAATTAACAGTTGTTTTTGTTTGGTTTATGGTAGATACAATCCAAATGATTATGATTTTAGCATCATTACCAGGTGTGTAAATATGAAACTAGAATTTGTCCATAGATGGCTCTAGTTGTTAATGTAGTTACCGTTAAATTACATTATTAGCACTACTTAGTTTCTTACACAGTTGGCAAAGATTTTCAACTCATAACAATGCAATACAATTTTCTTATAAACACATCGTTTAAATCCTGGAAGTTTCGAGTTTTTTCCCTACAAACTAAGATTAGCGGACAGCATTAGTTTTCTATTTCCATTTAAAGAAAACTGTTGCAGAATCACATAAAATGCTTGTTGGAGCATTTTAGCATGCTCTTGCAAAAATCACAGTGCTTTGAGTAGTTTAAAAATTCAAAAGTGGCAATTTTAATATAAGAAATGAAGAATGTGCAACATGGGCGTGATCTATTATATGATGCTAAAACGTGATGAAACCGTTAGTACACAACACTACCAACAACAAATGATCAATATGAATCAAGTTTGCTTCACAATAATGCACCATCACACACAGAAAAACTAGTAAAGGAAATGATTGACTCGTTCAGTTGGGAATTATTAGTGCATGTTGCTTACTGACCGCACTGGGATCCATCCAACTACTATTTATTTGCATTTATTTATTTCATCAGAAGAGCTTTATTTCTTATTAGAATACAGGAAAATAACTTGATGACTGGTTCACCATAAAAGAGCAACAGTTTTTCTGGCATTGCATTCATAAATTACCAGAGAGAAGGAAAAATGTATAGCTAATGATATACAATCTATCCTCTTCTTTTTTTTTTTTTAATACCCCTTCCCGGGATTGCTGCCATACGGGATTTCAGTAGTTGTGGGTTGATACGTTAGGATCTATCTATCTATTTCCATCGCGCTACAACCAGTCAGTCTTGGCCTCCTTAATAAGCCTATGCCATTTGGCTCTGTCCCATGCTGCCACCTTACAGTTGTTGCTACTACTCCATCAGCCCATCTTAATCTTGGTTTTCCATTTCTTCGGATCCTATGAAGAATCTCTTCAGATACCTTCCTCGATATTTCTTTTTCACTCATCCTAGCCATATGATTAGCCCAGCTGAGTCTTCCAAGCTTAATGAATCTTACCACATCTGCCTCCTTTTAAATTTGGTATACCTTTACAAGGAGGCAGACATGGTCAGATTCATTAAGCTTGGTAGACTCAGTTGAACTGGTCAAGTGGCTAGGATGAGTGATGTACAATATTTTTAACATTTTTATGCAATAAACATGTATTTTCTAAATGGTAATTCTGGTTTCATATTTACATGTGCAGGCAAATATGTTTTATGTTTAAAGCATTTTAATATTTTTTTGAATTCTATTATATTAAATGCTTATTTTTTACCTTCTTTTTCAGGTGACATTATGGGATTTCTTCTGTCTGCAACTGAAAATGAAGTGCCTGCATTGTGCAGAAATGCAGCACTTCTATTGATTGTTCTAGTTAATCAGTATGTTGCCTTTTCTAATCCATACAGAAACGTCCTTTCTTCAATTTCAGGTATGATTTATTATAATGACAATTTAAAAAAAAAAATTTGAATTCCTAAAAATGTGAAATTGAATGTAGTGTTTTTCTACACTTTAGTATATCATTTTTATATCAATTAATTGTTAAAATATTGTTCTTAAACAAGATATTTTATTTGTTGTTTATAGAATATTGGTTCCTGTTTATATAATTTCTTACATAATTTTCTAAGGTAAGTGTTAAAAGACTACTGGAAAACTATATGCTAGTGGATTAAATTCCAGTTAACTGGAGGCCAAAATATTCACCCAAAAATCTCTGAAGAATGTTTGTGTATTAAATGGAAATCTAGTTTATACTGGGCTCCTATCGAACTTTGGAAAAAAAAGAACTATCTTCCTAAACTATTTGTTGACCTTTAGCAATGTCATGCAGTTAAATCTCAAATAATAGTGCTATCTATTTTTAATTATAGTCGATTTGATGTAAGCATTTGAATGAAATCATAATCATATGATAGGTATTTAACTTTACTGAATCAAAAATATCTGGTGCGCACATCACACAACTGCCACTTACTTTTCTACTTTGAATAGAAATTATTTTCTGGCATTGTTGGGCTAATAAAATATTTTGGAAATGCATTTTTAACTAAAATGCAGCTATGAGCTAAAGCTTAAAACTCACAGCTAACAAATAATTAAGGCTATTAAAATAACAAAAACTCTATTTATTATATCTAAGGTAGGCGATAAAAAGCTTTTCTTCCTATTTCATAAAGATTTAATTTTGGAATATAGCTTAAAGGAACAATATTAAATAGTTCTGCAAAAATGAAAAAAAAATCTTTAATTTTATCATAATTCATACAACTTTTCACAAGAGTCAAATGATGATTAGGTACTTCTTGTCTAGGGGGCCGCTCCTGACTGCTATCTGCCAATGTTTATAACCTGAACACTGATAATTCCCATAGTGATAAGCCTTCTCCTACTTCATATATTCGTATTATTGCAAGTGTTGACACATACAAAAACAAATGCAATAACAAAAAAAAAAACTTTTATTTGATGACACGTATATTAATGAAATAATAAAAAAACACTTTAAGAAGATATGTACATATAAAACATCAAAATGAAATAATAAAAAAACACATTTACATAGAAAAGAAAAAATATCAATACTATAAACAATATATGTACAAATTATTTTCACTTAATTATTCAGTTCCTTTTGTCTTATTTATTTTGGAAGGCAAAATTGTTTTATGCTATTTAAAATAGCAAGGAACTGGTCCTGTTCTCTGTGAGCCCGCCGTCACAAAAATTCGCACAAATATGAATCGAGGTGTTGTCTGACAGTTCCTCTATGTACTTTATTTCTCCACTTCGCTGAGCCCTATAATTGTTCTATGTGCTGAGTATGAACCCTAGTTGATGGATTGACAAAATTATACCGGTGATTCACTTGGAAATGGTCATAGTTTGCTTTGTTCAGTTGTCGGGTGTTGTATCCTTTCCAACAGTCCGAATAAATGGTCGTTCCCTCTTCTATGTTTTCTTTAATTGCTTGTAATAAGGTTGTTGCCTTTCTGTCAATTATTTTGACAATAAAACATTCATCTGTTTCTCGGCAAACTCCACCGAACATCCACTGCTGAGGTAAAACTCTCCTCCATGATTTTTTTGTTTAGAAAAAAGACTTTCGTCTACTTCAACCACTTTGCCAGGTTCTAAGAAGATCCATAATATGACAAAAATAAACTAAAACAAAATGTAAAATAAACACAAACGGGCCAAAAACTAAAAATAATGAAAAATAAACACAAACGGACCAAAAGTAAAGAATTTAATAAGTGAACGTAATAAGGGAATAACTGAAAACTAAACAATGCAATAACTCAAAAGTTTGGCGGGATAAGAAGAGAAGAGGGAGGTTATGTGACGTGACGTTAGATAAGATAGATAAGAAGTGAGGTTTCAAAACGGCCCCCTAGATAAGAAGTAATAATAATAATAATAAGGCTTAGCGAACCCGAAGGTTCGATGCCGACACCACCAATCGCTTGTTACACACCTCCCTCCACCGTTCGCCGTCCAAACCCAGTCCCTTCAGATCGGCTTTAATGCAATCCTCCCATCTTCGCTTCGGTCTACCCCTCGGACGCTTACCATTCGGTACAGCAAATATTAACCTTTTAGGAATTCTCTCGTTACCAAGCCCAACAATTTTACAAGCCCATTTGATTCGCCGCGATGAAATTACCTCAATTATATTACCCGGATACATCTCACGCAATTCGGCGTTGTGTAACCGTCTGAACTCTCCGGTTAACTCATCCTTTTTCGGTCCGAATATTCTACGCAATACTTTATTTTCAAAAACCTTAAGACGCTGCTCATCCCTTAATGTAAGCGGCCAAGTTTCGCATCCATAAAGAACTGTAGGTAAGATAATTGTTTTATAGATTCTAATTTTTAAGTTTCGGGACAAGAGGCGCGAACTAAGTAGTTTTGTCACAGAAAAATAACAAGCATTCCCCGCCTTCAGTCTAACCTTAATCTCTTCTTCAATTTCGTTTTTTCTAGTTATCGTAGAACCTAGATACCTAAATTTATCTACCTGTTCAAACATATTACCATCTATATCGATATCACCAGTAGTATCGCCATTTTTGCAGCTAACCATATATTTTGTTTTATCCACGTTTATTTCGAGTCCTAGTTCTTTCCCGGCTTTCATTAACGTTGTCGTATTCAGTTTTATAGTTTCAACGTCTTCGCTTAACAGTACCAGATCATCAGCATAGCCCAGCACGGATGTTGTCCCGCCCAGATCCAACCCTTTCTCGGTTCGCATTACCTCCCTAATGGCATGTTCTAATGCCAAATTGAACAGGACAGGCGAAAGAGAATCCCCCTGTTTTAAGCCCGAACGAACCTCAAATTTTTCGGACAAATTATTACCGATTCTAACTTTATTGAGTGTCTCCGTCAAGCACATCCTGACTAGATTTACTAGTTTTTTTGGAATCCCCTGCTCGATTAGAATATTATACAATTTCTGGCGGTCAATAGAATCGTAAGCCTTTTTAAAATCTATATACAGCTGGTGAACAATACCGTTATACTCCAATTTTTTCTCTAATATTTGCCGTAAAGAAAATATTTGATCAATAGTCGAACGATTCCGTCTAAATCCGCATTGGTAGTCTCCGATAATTTCCTCGGCGTATTCCGTGATTCGACTGGTTAAGATTAAAGTGAATATTTTATAACATACCGGAAGGAGTGAAATTCCTCGATAGTTATTACAATCCGTCCTCGGACCCTTTTTGTGAATCGGAATAAGAATAGATTCTTTCCATTCTTCAGGTAATTTCTCGTTCACCCAGATCTTTTTAACCAACCGATGTATTTTAGAAACTCCAGCTTCTCCGCATGCCTTAATTAGTTCAGTAGGAATATTATCGATTCCCGCTGCTTTATATGATTTTAATTTTCCGATAGCTACTTCAACTTCCTCTTTAGTTGGTCCTTCTATTAACGGTTCAGCACTCTGGTACTCAGAAGGAGGACACAGATCATAATTTCCCGTATTTAAAATATTGTCAAAGTGGTCCTTAAACTTATTCAATATGTCAACCGGATCGGTCAGAATATTGTTATTATCATCCCTAATTCCAGACGTTACGGGCCCTACATATTTACGTGATCTGTTTATACCTTTGTACATGTCTCTTACGTTATTTTCGATTCTATTAGTTTCTATTTCAATTATTTTATTTTTAAGATACTCCCTTTTTTTATTTTTGAGCAATTTTGTCGTTTCGTTCTTTGAGATTCGGAAGTATTCCAGATTGTCTTCGCTAGGATTATTTAGAGCTTTTAATTTAGCGGCTTTTCTTTTTTCACACATGTTTAAGCAATCTTCATCAAACCACGGTTTGTTATTCTTATTTTCCTTTTTTCCTAGACACGAGTTACCGACCGCTTTAATATTATCTCTGATCTCTATCCATAACTTGTCGATATCCTCGTGGTCCTCGTCAGGAAGCTCTAAAGCTTCAAACCTATTCTTAACATCTAGCTCGAATTGGTTTCTAATTGATGGATATTTTAATTTTTCCAAATTAAAATTCTCAAAATCGAAACGGTTTTCTTTTCTCTTTTTTATATTAAGTTTTTGTCGAAGTTTCGCGATTACTAATTCATGATCCGACCCACATTCTGCTCCGCGATAAGACCGTACATTAATTATACTACTTTGCCAGCTGTGTTGTATCAAGACATGATCGATTTGATTTCGTGTTTGCGAATCCGGTGATGTCCAAGTATATTTATGAATATCCTTATGTTTAAACGTCGTACTTTTAATTATCAGGTTTTTCGAGATGGCAAAGTTTATCAGACGGATCCCATTATCATTACTATATTCGTGCAAACTTTCTTTACCAATCGTCGGAATATAAACTTCTTCCCTTCCTACCTTTGCGTTCGCGTCACCTACAATTATTTTCATGTAGTTTCGTGGTAGTTTATCATAAACCCATTCGAGTTTATCGTAAAATTCACTTTTGACTTCATCGTCACTGTCTTCGGTCGGACAATGTATGTTTATTAATGCGATTTTAAACCAACGTCCCTGAAATGTAGCTACCGAAATTCTATCACTAAAGAATTGTACGTCCCTCAAAGCGGATAGTAATCTACGCCTAATTAGAAACCCGGTACCTAAACAATGATTCTCGCTTCCTCCGTACCAAATAGTGTACTTCCCTTCCCTCATCGAGCCCTCCCCTGGCCAGCGAACCTCTTGCAGAGCCACGACATCCAAATTGTACCCATTTACCTCATTCGCGACCGATTTTAGCCCCCCTGCTGTGTTTAAACTCCTTACGTTCCACGTACCAATATTTAAATCCCTATATTTCAACTTGCGCCATGAATCCCCTAAAGCAGTCCCCACCCGGAGACCCGAACGGGGGACTAGTTTACTTCCGGATAATGAGCGTTTTACCTTAGGGA